CATACATACATACATACACACACACACACATACATACATACATACACACATACACACATTTGCCAGTGGAAATGGAATATTAAAAAAAACAACAGCATGACAATTCAGGAAAGAGTAGCTGTTGGGGAGTAAAAAAAATAGGAAAACAACTGAAAAGAAATCACAAATTAGGATGAGAAAAAGGAACAAAGATGGGGCAGAGGGATCATTTTTTGGAAATCCCACTTGGAATCCCATACCTTTTTTGAGTAGGCTTAATAGTTTACTGAAAGCAAAGCAACTCTGTGATGCCTGACAAATAAGAAGCCCGAGTGTTCTTTTTCATATATCTATTTTGTTTCACAAGCACCATCGTCACCATTTTGCCCTTCAAAAGAGCAGCCCTCGTGCCTGGGCACAATAACTGGCAGATATTCTGAAAGCGACTTACATCTGTCAGTGTTGTGCAAGTGTTTAATTCAAGCTGGTTTAGAACCACCATCACCCCCTTTCCTTCCTGACTGCTGAATAAGAGTAATTCTCTTCAAAATGAAACTGAATTCAGGAAGTAAAGTCAGCAAGTCCTTCCCTTTCCCGTTAAAAATACAGCTGTAAGTGTGGGGAGGGAGGGATTGCTTATTTTCAAAGAAACCCTCTTGTATAGTTTTATTATGGTTTTATTTGATATCAAAACTAAATGTTAACTTTTTAAAATGTTATACTTATTTCTTGCCCAACTCTGATCCCAATGTAATCATTTTAATTGTGTGTGGGATGGGAACATACAAATTCATTGTATAATTTCTGAACAGATTTAGTTTGGAAAGCTCTGGTCTAACCTTCAGAGACATCCATGCTACGTAACATTCAGTTGTATGCTTCGCTCATTTCTATGTTACTCATCCAATAATTAATAGGTAATTGTTTTGGGGAGAAATGTTCAGCACCTGTTGGTAAATACATCACATTATGCATAATATTCTTTTAATTTTCTAAAATCTACTTTCCATATGATGTAAAACATTTTCTGAAAAAAGGAAAAAACAATATCGGCTTAATGCTTTGTTTTTTATTTTTACATAAATGTATTTAGTGAAAAATATTACAGGCCTCTTCTCTATCTGTCTACACCTTAGAAGAAACAATGTAAAAATAGCTTTTTCCTCCATTTTCCTATCTATTGGAACAGTGGTCTCAACCTTTTTGGTTTCACAGACTGGCAATGGCAGCCTGGGATGGTTTCAAGCACGCAACTTAATTCCGTACATGCGCAAATAAAGCTTCATGTGCTCGCCTACTGTTTGCGCTGCCCAGTTTCCAACGGGCTGAGGACTGGTACTAGTCTGCAGCCCGGGAGTTGGGGATCCCTGTATTAGAACACATCTATTTGTATATTGCAGAGCAAGCTAACCATACTGGCTTGGGAATTTGGGGAGTTGGAATCCACAAGTCTAAAAGTTGCCAAAGTTCTGCACCTTCTCCATAGAGAATCCTCAGCCTATAATGGCTAGTTAATCTTGCCAATGTCATTAGAATTTTCCTAGCAAGAAGTAATCGGACCAAAACCTGCTATTTGAGGCACTTTTAAGTTTTTCTATTTAAAATTTAAAAAATTGATATAGCAAATGCAAACATCTGCTGATGTGTTGCCTGTAAAAATTACTCTGAACAGGATGTGATAGGCAACCAAGGAAATCTCAATATTAGAGCATTTATATTTGAAGGCAAGGAGAGACTCTAGAGTAGGGGTGTCAAACTCTGAGCCCACAGGATGGATGTGTCACGCACTGGCCATGCCCACCTCTGGTTTAGCGAAGGGGGGGGAGTCACAATACGTCACATGATGATGTGATGTTGCGTGTTTGGCACCCATGGTTTAGAGAGTGTATATAGCACTCCTTACGCCAAACCTATCTATTCCTTGGATTCTGGTATAACTTTGGTGCACCACCCCAATCCCAGGAAAAGATACAACTTCCTGAAGGAGTTGCAGATAATATGCTTTTTTCTTCAAATGCAGACACTGCAGGGCCCTATAAAATATAGCTGAGAAAATTGATATTCCAATTTCAGGGAAGGCATAGATGCTGAGTGGAAGAGCCTACATCTACTTGATGCCCTCATTCATATTTACTTTATAGTCAATAATAAAATTATGATACATTTATGAATCTTCAGTTATTAAAAAACCCTCTTTGTAAATTTCATTTTTGCCCTTATATTTACAATGCTACAGTACAATATACTAATGAAAATACAGATGGGAAAGGCTGCCAGCTACATTTTTTAAAATTGCAGATACAGTGATGGAAGAATTTTGAAGTGTAGATTTGTGTTTGGAAGATAAGGAAACTGTCTTTTGCAAACCCCTTTCATTATCATGTCAAGAAACTTACATGGATACGTCCATGACATTTTCAGCGATAGAGCTGGATATGAAACTGATGTTATCAAGAGGTGAATTGCATTGCTGTTTCAATGTGCTGGGTGGAAATCTTCCCGTCCATTTCAGTCCCACATCACTTTTAGTTTTGCCACAATGTGCAACTAATTGGAGGAAGTTAAAAATCTGCACTTCGTTATAAAACCATGTAGCAGTTGAAAGTTCTCTAATTTTGATGCTCAGACTATGAATAACAAGAAAATACATTTGTGCTTATCAGAAACCAACTGAGATGTCTTTTAAGGCACATAAATTGCTGCTCAGTGACAGCATAGAAATTAGATAAATTTGTGAACTAAACTCAACCAGTTTGTTTATATAAGATCTGTATTTAAGGTTGTTTTTAATGCAAAAAAATACTTGATTGTATCTGTATAGGAGGGAAGATCTGCATAGAGAGATTGCTTCAGATGCCAGCAGCAGTCAGATATACATCACAGTCCAGGTTCCACTTTGTTGACACATCTGAAAATGTCTTCCAATCTGAGGGCATCCGTTGTTGATTGTGTGGACAGAATTAATTGGCCAATATTTTGAATTTGGTTCCATAACAGCAGCAATTATAAAATTAAATTCCTAAGCCCATTTGCATTTTTTCTTTTCATCCATTAAACTTTTTATATTTAAGAGTTGCTGTTGAGCTTCTTCCAATCCTCGTTCTGTCTCTAATTTATTCAGTATCTATGAGAACAAAGGGATGTATGCTTATTTTGTTTATTTAAAAATAACATTTCCCCCCAATGTTAAAAAGTAAGCTCTGCTTAAGTAACCATTCCTTCTAAAGCCAGGCTATTTTTGCATCTTCTTTGGCAAGTTATTATTAATCACAAGATGAACACTTCTGTTGGCACTAGCAACCTCAATTAAAGTCACAAGTGTTTCTGTAAATACAACTCGAAAAGCAATAGATCTATGTTGTATATGTGTTAAAAGCAGAAAAACTCCAACTTCAATAATCAAGCGGAATCAACTATTCAATTATAAATACTGCCATATTGAGTGCTAAAACATTTTCATTACCTGCCAGCCAGATATAACATGCTTTTGAGATCATGAAAAAAATGTGATATTCAGCTCATTTGGAAACTAACTAGATTAAGTTAGTCTAGTAGTTAATCTACCTCACATGCCTTGACTCTGTCAAGCACTGGCCTTAAGAATAAAATGCAAGGTGCCTGGAGTAGAATAGAAAATAGAGTAGGGTAGAGGTAGAGGTAGAGTAGAATAGAATAGAACAGAACAGAATAGGAATATATGTAGATATATAGAAATAGAGCACAGGAACTCAGTCATAAAAAGGATCACAACCTATTGCTTCAGGGTCATTAATCTATATGAGTTATTAATCCTTAAGGGACAGTTTATTCACTTCCAGTTACTTTCTGTCCAGTTCCTCCCCTCCTCCCCTGTCCTAACTGCCAGTGCACACAGGAATTGTAGAGTTGAAAATTGCCTACATATGTGCATTGCTAATACAGTAACCACTCTCTTCCCTAATTAGAATGTGTCTGAGCCATTCTATGGCTATGCCATTCAGTAGCCCACAACTAGCCATGTTAGATGATTAAGACTCTTACCTTATCAAAGTATCTTGCTATGTATTGGTAAATTTTATTCAAAGCCTCAGCCTCATTAAACTCATTTTCATGTTTCTAGAAAAAAAAAGTTTGAGAAACTGTTTATATTTAAAGATACTATTATTATACAATTGTATCACAGCAGCCAGTTGTTTCGCCGGCTTTTGGAATAGCACCCAGTGTGCCAATTACCACTGGAATTACCACTGCTGGTTTGTGCCATAATCGTTGAATTTCGATTTTTCTATTATTATTATTATACAATTGTATCACAGTGGCCAGTTGTTTTGCCGGATTTGGCATTGGTTACTAGTTGGGCCCCATCCAGGGGCCTAGGACATCATAACGTATTTTCGTAATATGCGTGCAGATCCAAGCAGTGCGGCTTTTTGCATTTGACTGATGGTGATTTTGTCAATTTTTAACTGTTTTAACTGTAATTCCAGTGCTTTTGGAATAGCACCCAGTGTGCCAATTACCACTGGAATTACCACTGCTGGTTTGTGCCATAGTCGTTGAATTTCGATTTTTAAGTCCTGGTATTTTCGATTTTTTCATGTTTTTTCATGTCGGCGACCTTGCTATCACCTGGTATTGCGATGTCTATGATTGTGACCTTATTTTTCTCAACCAGTGTGATGTCTGGTGTATTATGCGCCAGTATTTTATCCGTTTGTATATGGAAATCCCACAAGATCTTGACCATCTGATTTTTGGTGACTTTTTCAGGCTGATGTTCCCACTAGTTTGTTGCTATTTTAATATAATAATTTTTGCAGAAATTCCAATGGATCATTTGTGCTACTGAATTGTGCCGCAATTTATAATCAGTCTGCGCGATTTTTTTACAGCAGCTGAGTATGTGATCAACAGTTTCATCAGCTTCTTTGCAAAGTCTGCATTTGGCATCATCAGAGGATTTTTTCGATTTTGGCCTTAATGGCATTTGTGCGGATAGCTTGTTCTTGCACAGCCAGGATTAGTGACTCTGTTTCTTTCTTTAATGTACCTGCTGTTAACCATAACCAAGTTTGTTCACTGTTCACTTTATCTTTTATTTTTTCCAGAAATTGGCCATGCAGTGCTTTGTTCTGCCAACTCTCCATTCTTGATTTTATCACATCTTTTCTGTATTCTTGTTTCGTCTGTTGGACCGTTCAATAGATTTTTGTTCTTTACTTCGATTAATAGATGTTACTATTACTATTATTATTATTATTATTAATAATAATAATAATAATACCATTATTATTATCCATAGCACATAAAATTGTAAATAATGATTACAAGTAAATATAAAAAGACAATGGAAAATATTGCTGGAACCTTTGATATGTGTCTGAATAAATCCATTAATGGGAACTGTCCTTTAAATACAGTAAGACACAGCTCCATTTTCAATATACGTTTAAATTCCAACTACAGCAGAAATAATTGACCGATACCTGTGATTCCAGAATTAAAAATTCTTCCAGCTCTGCTCTGGGCAGTGGAGGCAAATCCTTTATTGCTTTATAGAAAGCTTTAACTTCCTCTTTATAGAGTGGTATATCCTTAGCATACAGAAGTTTATTTGTTGGTGCTTCCTTTGAGGAGGAAGAAGAAAAAACATACCATAAAAGTTAGCAAGATGCCTCATTTGCTAGTGAACCCCCCTGTTGTTAAAATTAGGGAACAATGCGTTATGGTCATCAGTCATGTCAGGCAATCTTGGTGGACATAACAGACTATTTGCAGGTTTACAACCATTCTCTGAAATTTCTTGAGTACAACATTTTAGGAAAAGTGTCTTATGGGACATCAGGGCCACCAGCATCAAAGGAATGTAGCCTTCCAGCCAGAACAGGCAAATACATGCCTGGTTGTTGACAGATGCATCAAAACTTTCCTAGGAACAGAGATAAAAGAACTGGGAGCTCAGAAAGCCAGCATGGGGTCCTTTTCAGGACACAAAGGAAAGATAGGGCAGTTGATCAGCTCTAGAAGAAAAAGGCTTTTGCATTTGATCCCAATTTCTGACCGCAAACACCACCCCCACCCCCATTTGTCCTCTGGGCACCTGCCTGCCTATGAGTCTTCTCTTATAAAAGCCAACTTTGCTTGTGCTAAATGTAGCCCTTTCTCAAACTTATAATTGCAAGATTTTAGAGCAATTCGTGCAAAATTATCACAGTTTTCTGGTAATTGGGAAAAAATAATAATTTGTTCACCCAAACTGGCTAGATAACATCCCGAGTGATCCTAATCTAGCAGACATCATATCCAAGAAGCTAGTTTGTGAAGCTAATACATTCCTCTGTGCATGTTATGAAGCTATTCTAGAACACTATGGACATAGAAGATATGAAGCTATGTTCCCAAAAGAATGTGGACATGGATCAGGAAATATTTTTTCAGTGAGTCACATTTAAAGATGAAATGACCATTTTCAATAGGAATAATGCAGTTCTTGGAAGACTATAATCCTGTTAATTTACTTATCTGAAAGTTAGTCCTAGACAAACTAACAGGACTTACTTTTTAATCCTGGGTTCTCTCTGAGCTTAGTTGTTTGCTTGCAAAATCCACACTAATTAGTACTCATGATGCTACCTAGTTGGGCAATGAAATGTCTGCAAGCAAACAACCAAACTCAAAGAGCACCAAGAATTCCTCTGTCAGGCTAAGCCAAAGAATGACAAATATTAATTCAGCCAGAATTCAGTTGTTTATTTGCTTACAAACAATGGACAGAATTTTGCTAGACTGAAGCCTTACTACTATTATACTAACAAGATGCTAGGGAGTGACTCCTAACTCTCTTACTCTGTCTCCCATCCAATTCCAGACTGGGCTGCCTCTTGTCTCACCACCTCCCTTTCTGAATATGCTCTCTCCTTCCTGGGAAACTTAAAAAAGAGGCTCTTGGTATGCATGAAAAACAAGACACTACCTTTCCCAAATGTTGCTCTGACAGAGAAAATGCATCCATAAATGCTTGTGCAATGACTGACAGGCAGCCATCTATATGTGGAGTCTTTTTAATATCAAAGACAAATTGAGGATTCTTCAGAATATTCACCCAGAATCGAAGAGGCAGACTAGACAAAAAAGATATTTAAAAAAGTTATATTGAAATAATTAAATACAAATCCTTCATGGAAAAATCAGCAAATATTTACTATAAAAAAGACTAACCAAAAGTAATATAATTTTTTTTATTGTCAATTGATGAACACATTTTCAACATGCCCTGCAGTGCTAATACTTTTTGAAATTGTTACGTGTGTATGCATGCATGCATATATGTATATATTCAGTCCATACAATTTCTTTGCGATTCTGAATGTCTTGCACATTTTAAAAAGAGTAATATTAGAGATACAAATAAAAGGGACCCTGGCTGACTGGAGAACAATACAGCCAGCTATTCAGCAAACACAATAAACCAGTGGTGGCATTCAAAATTTTTTACTACAGGTTCTGTGGGCATAGCTTGGTAGGCGTTGTGTGGCTTGGTGGGCATGGCAGGAAAAGGATATTGTAAAATAGCAATAGCAGTTAGACTTATATACCATTTCATAGGGCTTTCAGCCCTCCCTAAGCGGTTTACAGAGTCAGCATATTGCCCCCAACAACAATCCGGGTCCTCATTTTACCCACCTCGGAAGGATGGAAGGCTGAGTCAACCCTAGCCGGTGAGATTTGAACAGCCGAACTGCAGTCAGCTGAAGTAGCCTGCAGTGCTGCATTTAACCACTGCGCCACCTCGGCTCTATTCCCTCCCCACTCCAGGGGAAGGTTATTTTAAAATCCCCATTTCCTCCTTATCAGCTAGGACTCAGAAGGCAGCAGAGGGGCAGACCAGTGGTGGGATTCAGCCAGTTCGCACCTATTCGGGAGAATGGGTTGGTAACTTTCTAAGCAGTTTGGAGAACTGGTTATTGGAAGAAATGTCATTTTGTTTTTTACACTTTACAGGGCTAATCCTGTAAGGAGGGCAGGAAGGAAACATTCTGGTGTTGTTTCTAGCCTCATCTTTATCGCCCTGCTTACAGAAACTGCCTCTCTGGTTAACCCTTATTACATTGTAACAGCTAAGGCGAAGCGCCCATCAATGTGAGTGATGTTGAGTTGGCCATTCCCACCGAGTCACATGACCACCAAGCCCCACCTACCCTGCTGGTCATTAGGGCAGAGAACCGGTTGTTAAATTATTTGAATCCCACCACTGGGCCAGACAGGTGGTATTTACCAGTTCTCTAAACTACTAAAAATTTCCGCTACCACTTCTCCAGAACTGGTCAGAATATGTTGAATACCACCTCTGCAATTAACATAAAGAAAGGCTTTGAGGAACAACCATGTTTTTAGAAGTTTCGTAGATTTTTAAAAGTTTCCACAGGAACAAAATAGCCTGCTTTCTCAGCCCCACAAGATGGCACTGTTTAATCTTTGGGGCTCAAAGCACACCCATCTTGCTTGTTCACACTGGATGGGCAGAAACAATTGGAGATAAGCAGCCTATCAGAAAGCCAACTTTAGCCAGGCCAAGTACTTTCTTACGCTGCTGCATTCTTGAAACAGCTGTGGCTTCTGAATGGTTTTTAAAGGTGGTCCAATCCAGAGCATGTTATAATAATCTAATTGTGAAATGACTGGTTAGGGAGTGACGATCAGAGGGGCCTCATAGTTCAGGAAACTGGTGCATTAGACGCTCTTCAAGCAGGAACTGAAAGTCCAGGAGGAACCCCAGATTTCACACCATCTCAAATGAGGAAGTACATCCCACTGATGTGGGGGAGGGGCTTGAGTAAACAGCCACTTGGTTTTCTCAAGACTGAGACTGAATCAGTTTACTCCATCCATATCCATATAGTTGGAGGCATTAGGCTAGGACTTTAATGGTGTCACTTTACCAATCCAGAGTCAATATATAACTGGTTATCACCATTAGATTGATAACACCTGACCTCAAACTGACAGTTGAACTTACCCAGCAATTTTATGCATATGTTAAACATGACAATTTCATGTATTATAGAATGGAAGAGAGCCTGTAGTACCTAACGAGTCCTGCCCAATTAACATCAGTTGATACTAGTTGCAGAGAAAAGAGGAAATTGTAAAATATGCTTTCCACCCCATGCTCAGAGTGAATCTGAAAGGATACCATAGTCAATGGTATCGAAAGTGCATGATAAATTTTAAAAAACCACCAGTATCAATATACCACCTCAGTATTGGCTTCATCACTGGTCATCAACAAATGCAACAATGTTACCTATGTACCAAATGTGCCCTGAAAACTGACTGAAATGTATTCAAAATAACTGTTTTCCCAGGATCCTCTGAAGTTGAACTTCAACCACCTTCTCCATCATCTTCCCTAAAAGGGCATAATTGCCCAGACTTTTGGACCCCATAATGGTTTCTTGAGTATAGGACACACAACAGCTTCCTTCAAGGCCCAAGGGAGATACCCTTTATTCAAGAAGGCCAACACCAATGCACACATCCAACCACAAGTTACCTCATGAGCAGCTTTAATCACAGAAGAGGAATGTGGCTGAGCTAATAGGCTTGTTCACTTCCTAAGGAATCACAGAATCAAATTAAATAATCCCCCAGAACTATAAACAACTTTTTCTGCCAAAAAGCAAGAATTTGCTATATGTTGCCAAGTTACAGTGAGCACATAAATTACCTGTTGGTTTTCCATATATGAACCACATCAGGATCTGTAATTTTTTTATTTTCAGCCTGAGCATCCAGAAAATCAAAAAAATATTTAATAGCAACTGGGACTTTATTGTTGGGCAAATTCCAAATGCTTCTAAAGAGCTTTTCAACAGTTGAGTGGATAGCAACCTGTGGCAAAACAAAAAAGTATTTCATTACTCACTGTGTGTGTGTGTGTGTTTTCATCTAGGAAGATTGACACAATATACACTATATTGCCAAAAGTATTCGCTAACAAATGATTCTGATTATGTGGATGGGTGAGCGAATACTTTTGGCAATATAGTGTATGTGATTTTCCTCAATCTCCACACTTTATCCTCACAATCATTTGATAAAGTGTCATGAATGCAGCCTTCTTAGAGCTGCTCTATGTGTAATTGAGTCTCAATTTATGTAAGTCAAAGGGGGAGTCTTCTTATATATATATATGGATGTGCACAACTATGATTTAGTGCATAATTATATATACTTAATGATGCCAGTATTCAATTATATATAAAGCATTTCCAAAATGCTGTTGCTTTAGATATGAAATAAAAAGGTTTGTCATATATTCTTTTTCCCAGTGCTTTTTAGCCTTCAAATGCAAGCAAGACATTTTGTAAGGTAATAGAATATACAGTGAATAATTATAGCATTAAATCATTCTTTTATGATTAGAAATAGAACCTTGGAGTCACCTTAGTAGAGAGAAGTTTAGTCAGATACATTTCTTTGACTTTAAATTTTTGTTTTCCTTTATTGTTTGCATTCTGGGTTTCTTTGGCTGCTTCTGCATCTGGTAATATCTATAAGAAAGGTTTACACAGATGTTCATGGAAATGCTGCGATTAAGGAGCTAAACAAATGACTAATTACTAGGTATTAAGCTGACTTACCAGATGGCAATAGTCCTCAGAATATTCTCCATCTGGTCAACATGGTGAAGAGGGGGGGGGGAGGATAAACATAAAGATCAAGCTATGACCTAGAAAGTAGGCTGATGCTCATGAAAAATGCACTGAAACATGCATGGTTAGCTAAATTTATTCTTATTCAGATTACTGCCAATGTAGATGGTAAGATCTTTAATCATGGAAGTCCTTTCTATTAATTGGTGCAATTAATATTTAAGTGGAAATAGATGCTTGCTTACAAATATAAGAAAATAGTAATCCCAACATCTGGAGGGAGTAAATGTTTACTCAATTAGTTTTCAATTAGTTTTTCAAAATTGGGTTTACCAGGAGTTGATTTTTGCAAGGCATGAAATATTCAATTTGTCTTCCATATTGTTCGATTTGGAGAGAATTAAAATCCTGGACTGGGCAAATGAGCATATCATACAGCTGCCCAATATTGAGAACAGAATGTTTAATTTTTCTTCTTTAGTTCTTATTATATTACTGTATATCTAAAATTAGTTCTATATTCTCAGTTCATATGAACTTCTGAATTGAATTCAATTCAGTTATAATTATAATTCAAAGAATTACCACAAATTTTCAAAAATCCAAAATATTATATAAATATGTTATTTGTTTTACCAGCTGATATATCTTGTTTCTTCTTAAATACTGTAATTGTTGCTCCGTCTGAAATCTGAAATTACACAATAAAGCATCTTTCTTACTTTTCTTGAAATCTGTATCAAATTGTCATACTTTACATGTTCTCTGCATGTTAACAAAATGAAAATACATGTTATAAATTAACATCTGCATAATACTCCCCTAACAAAGGGAAATGTTCAACACATTTGGATGTTTATTCTTACCCCATAATGGCCTATGGTGTTCAGTTTAGTAACTCTATTTTCCAAAATCACGGAGGAACCATCTACATCAAGAAGTTCTTTTGTTTGGGAACCTGATTCAAGAGCTGACAACACAAATAAAATAGTTAATCTGCACTTAGTTTTAAAAAGGTAAGAGTGGCCTTTCCCTGTTAAATTAAAGCAGAATATTATGTGAAGCAAATGTTATGCTTTTTGTATAGTATTGTTTATTTTATACGGTGCACATAAAAGCTGTCGCTTGCAATTGTATCACATTCTAGTCGTTTCTTCACTTTCCCCCAAATTATTTATCACAGTGGAATTTTGTGAAAAACTTCGAAGTGACTATGTAAGTGTGCTATTGTCACTGCTGAAAGGGATATTGCCAGTACATATTCTAGGTCAACAAAAATTGCTCACTAATTGTAGCATTATCCTAGCACACTATTTGTGCCCAATGCTACATACTTGCTCATTGATGCAATTTAGAATTTTTATGATAGGATCAATTTTATTTGATTTTATTACTTTCCATTTGTCTGTAACAACCTGAATGGCTAGTAATTTATAAAAAACACAGTAAAAAATAAAGTTCAGACCCAACAATGTATTAAATCCTAACAGGATAACTGAGTAAATCCTAACACCTCACGGACTCCAACTAACCTCCCAGCCCCCATACCTGGAATCAAATCCAAGCCTTAAAACTTTCTGACAAGTCAGCCGGGTCATGGTCAGCCTAATCTCTATGGCTGCAATAGAGAAGGATCACTTTCTGAGTCCTATAAGATGACATTCTGTAACTGATGGGACTCACAACATGCCCCACATGGAAACAAATGGGGAAAGACAGTTCTACAAATAAAGCCCAGGCTGTGGAAGGTTTTGTTTGTTTGTTCAATTTATATAGCCTCCCTCTCTCCAACATGCTTGTTATAGCTGATAATCAGCACCTTGAATTGAATCTGAAAGATTTCGGAGAGTGGTGCAGCTTGCAGAGCAAAGGCATAACAAGGGTGCATTTCTATTGTGCTTTTTTTAAGCAAAAAGCCACGAATGTATTTATAAAAAAAATCCAAGATGTATTCAGATAATAAATTATACTAAATAATTTCAACATGTTAATCTTATAGTTAGTTAATATGTTAAATAGAAAAATAATAATGTTTAGTTTATAAAAATAAAAATCATACTATTAAAAGTAAAAAATAAAAACAATATAGTTTTGGAGCAACAAAAACAAAAAGCTATTTTTGAATTTATAACAAGTAAAGCACTATTAGCATCTTACTCAGGCCCATTTCACTTAGCTGGAGACCATAGAGGGATCCGTTCTTGTTCAGAAAGGCCTGTAAGATCTTCTCTTTGGCCTGCCCAATGGTGTCACAATCCAATATTTTAACTTGGATATTCTGAGTAGTGCCACTGGACTCATTTTCTTGGATATTTTCAAAGGCAACATTTAATACCTGGAAAAGTGAATATTCATTCAAAGTGACTTAAAAGTTGAAACTGGATAGAAAATACACATAAGAATTATTAGGAATATCTAACAGGAAAGATGGCATTCACTGATTTCTAAAATATTACCATATTTCCTCCAAATGCACATTCTTATTTCTTCAGATACCTACATAATGAACAACTTTCACACACAATCTTTCCGTTTTCTTTCTTTATTACTTCTTATGTCCTACCACTGCTTGTCCAATGTTTTCATTCTGCTTTCCATAATTCATTCTGTGCAATTCTTTTTCCTATACGATCCAGTCTTTGTCAGATAAACTCCATAAAATCCACCATCTCCAAGATTTCGGAGTAGTATTTTTGGTTAGTATTTATATCCTGTAGTATTTATTTAGGGTAGTACTTATTATTACTCCAGTAATTCAAGGTAACAGATGACAGTTTGCTGAGTTTTACTTTATTATGTTCTCAAATCTACAGCTAAAGGAAAAACAATCACCAGGGCTTTTTGCAGACACATAGGAAGTAATCCACAGGCTTTTTAGAATTCCCATCATCTTCAGACTAAACTAAAACTTGACCTTAAACTGTACAAATAAAACCTGCTCTTCCCTTGTCTCACTTTCTTTTCCTTTGTGCTTATTTTTCTAAATAAGTGGTTTACAAAAGCAATTTCACAGAAAACCTATAGTATTTGATAATGAATATTTCAGGGGCTAAAGAATGAGGTTAGTTCCACACTATCCTGTCAAACATCTCTGTAGCTGATCTTTTCCATGTGAAAAAAAATGAGCATCAGGTGGTACAACTGAGATGGAACAAACTATCAGAATAGTTTTTGGATTCTCCCACAGCTCTGAACTACTTATATCACCTTGAGCATATTGGAAGGGAATTGTTTCTAACACCACAAAAACCATGGACACATAAATAGTTTTCCTTCTTTAATTTCCAATATATGCTTTCTCTCTTATCATTCACAGAGATAAAAGTCACTTTTTTCAGTGCTGTAGTAACTTTGAGCGATCACTAAATGAACTGTTGCATGTCAAGGACTACTTGGATAATCTAGTGCATGAATAACATCAGAGGTGGTATTCAGCCAGTTTGGACCAGTTCTGGTGTATCGGTAGTGGAAATTTTTATTAGTTCGGAGAACCGGCAACCACCTATGGCTGGCCCCGTCATCCTGCCCCCATTGTTCCCTGTCCTATATTCCCTTGTTTTTTAGCTCAGCTGATTCGCATGGCAGAGCGGATCGCTGTGCCTCAGCTGAGCTAAAAAACAGCTCAGTTCACCAGTGCTGACACCGAGTGTAGTCTTTGAGTGCTGCATACCCGCGAAGTGTGCGTGTGCACGCAAAGCGCTCTCTCATAGAACCGATAGGAAAAGATTTGGAATCCCACCACTGAATAACATGCAACCCTGCATCCTTGATAAGAAGGGAATGGTATTATGTACACATTTTGAAAGTTACTTCCTGTTGAAGTGACTGGTTTGTGGGTGGTGCAAACCACTAAGCAGAGTTTCAGAAACAGAATGATAAAATAATTCCACTGAGCTTTATGCTACCTCTGACCTATATACACAGCCGTGCGTTGATTGTGTTGAGATACTTATTACCACAAAGACAGGATTTAAAAGATGAAAAAAATATTTAGAGGAATTTTTATTGAATAGAACTGTTTTCAATTTTCTGGGGCTAATTCATCTTCAATAAAAAAAATATAAAAATAATATGATAATTTTTGTCAATTTCCATAACTAGATGAATAGATACTAAGGCATATTAAACGTCTGTCAATTAAATTAAGTTAAAGAGTCAGCCTTTCTTGGCACTGAATCTTGATTTTTAGAATACATTATGCAAAACATTTATTGGAATATATGCTTCTTTCATACAAACTTCCTGGTTCCAGTCATAAATTCATTAGGTAACATACCACTGTGCTGAATTTAGGTGCTTGCCACAATAACCAGTCTTCATTTAGTGTGTATAGGGCCTTGCAAGATATTACATCCACAGGACCCTTGATAATCCTTTGATTTAAAGTTGTTACAAATAAAAAGAATGGTTCCCCAACTGTTTCCTATGAAAGAAAATGAAGCACAATTATTGTCTTTTGTTGCATCCCTTTGCAATTGTTTAATGAATGTGGTTTGAAAAAGAATGGAAGGGGAAGTACTAAGTATGCCCCAGTTGTAGTTCAAATCTGTTAGAAAAATATGCATTTTCAATTCACACAAAACCTTGAAACCAAGCTATTTCTTTGTATCTATATTTGGCATATGAATCCTGAAAAGCTGTAACAAATATGATATGTAATGAATTAAATTAACATGCAGCTGATCAGATCGCACTCCCCCCCGCCCATATCTAAATGGCTTCTGCAGGAAATATTCAGGAATGTTTAAAGTAATAGGTTACTTCTGCCTCGCGTATCAATCTGAATTTATTTAATGCATTCAGAACACCAACTTTATGAAATTTAATTTAATTAAAATAAGAGGTTATCTGCAGAGCTTGTGCCAGCAGTCCACAGTATCAAAATAAAGCAAGTCAACACTGCTAGGAGATCAAGTGTGGAAAATGTGAATAGGAAAATCTGCATGCAAATAAATCAGTCTCTTGCTCACTGATGTTTTATAGCAAAAACATATAATATATAATACTTGCCCGAAGGAAACCAGAAAGGCAAACTGACATCCAGTTTGTAAGCAGCTTTTCTACTACTGATTCTGTGCGCCTTAGCATCAGCTTAGGTTGCATATTGCTAGACTGCTCCATCAAATCTTTTGTCAAAATTTCTAGAATATTAGTTAAATAGACTAGATTGGTCTGTAGTGCAATTGTCAAAAAAGATGCAAACAAGCATCTGTTTAAAAAGAGGGAAAAAAGCAGGTTACAATAATTCTGAATGTTAGGAATCTGAATTATTAACGTATAATAACACCACCAGCTTGATCCAAACTCACCCACATCTTGTCATGTGTCATACAAAAACATGAGATGATTTCTGCAACTACTAAATATAACAGGTCTATATAAAATATAGGATTGATAATCAAAGATAGCCCGGTACTTCATTTATTGGCAAGGTCACCAAAGGTAGCCTGGCAGAGCATTTATTAGCAAGGTCACAAATCAAGGCTAGAAATATGAACAACTCTGTACTGTTTACAGAGTTAAATGTAAACTCTTGTTAGTCATTTTGCAGGTGAAGAAAAGGACAGGAAACATAAAACTAATGCTTATCAATAATCACCTGTGCATTGTTCAGACAATAAAACTAATGGCTCAAATTATGCAAATTATACAAATTATGCAACAGAAAATTAACCTGCACAATTTTTTTCACACCTGAATTGGAATTAAAAATGGCTTTATTATAAATAATATAAACTCCTTACTTCCCCATCAACTTCAGTTGGTAAGTATTCAAACAATCTGCCAAATGCAAAGGCTAGATTAAAGTGAAATTATTGATTGGTAAGATTTATATGGCTTATCATAGCCCAGGTTGACATATTCTATTCAAGATGTGAAGAACTTATTTTGACTTTTCAAAAAGTGAAGAAATGAACAAGTAGAAAGACACTTTCAAAAAATATTTTGACTATTTTAATGAAAAAATGACCATTTGGTGTCTATTAATTTGTCCACAGTTTTATACAACTTGCAGAATTTAAATTTTATAGCATACCTATCTTTTATATCAAAGGTTTTCTGTTTTTCAAGAATGTGAATCAGAGTAACAAGAAATTTCTTGTTACAAATTAATGCATAGAGACCCTGGTCTTTGCTCTGAAAGAAATGAAAGACATAAATTACATTATTCTTCACCTATTTTTAATGTCGTATATATTTAATCCTTAAAATTGCAAAAATCATATTTTAATATTTAGAAATCCTGCTACAGATATAGATGTTACATGAAATACAAAGAAGGTGGATAAAGGAACACATTATTCCTCTGTGTAAAACTTTTCAGAGTTCTTGCAATATCGGTCCCAGCTTGGATATGCAATATTTCTAGATTCTGTAAAAAAAATCTAAATCTTAGAAATATTTTTAAAAGCACATCAAACTTAAAAGAATGAAAATTCTTTTAGGTCGTTATACTTACTAGAGGTTCATTAGAATCTTCAATAAACATAGACGAAATACCTATAGCCTAAACAAAAAAAATGTGAATACATCATTAAACATTTTCTAAACATCTGCAGCATAAATATAAAGATGATGCTGATTTTGATGAGATGTAATGACGTGTTCTGAATGTTCCTTCTCTAAACTACAAAAGAAAGTGATCTGAAAATTCTTAGAAACTATGGGCTTGTAAATTGACTACATATTGAAAACTAGAAATGTTTAGAAATCATTTCTTAAGAAAAGAAAAATAAAACTAATGCTGGTTCAAAGCTGAAATATTTGTCATCTGAAACCCTTCTTATTCACTCTACATCATTATCCATAGAGAATGGAAACTGATTGTTCGGGGTGGGGTGGGGTGCACCACCAGGATATACTGGCCCTTTATAACTGGAAAGTTCTCACTACTCAAAAAAATAAAGAAATAAACAAGAACTTAGCAACTTTAAGACTGGCTGGGGAATTCTGGGAGTTGAAGTCCACAAGTCTTAAAGTTTGGAGAACTCTCATAGAAAATACTGCAATATTTGTCCTTTTTAAAAATACCAATGATTTGCATATGTTGGGAAGGAACCCTGAACTTCACTTCTATTTTTATTATCTCCATATTCCACCATATTGAAGGAAGATAATACTTTGACATTTGAAATTCTTCGGCATTATAAAATGGTATGATTCAAAGCAGATTCTTATCAATTATCTGATTTGTAAAATGTTGGTTGTTTCTCCAGATGTTATTTTTGTGTTTTGTGGTCTATTTTATTTTTGAAAAAAATGGCATTATGCATACATCATCTAGAGTTGTAATGGAGTTAGGCAGATTACATTTAATACATTGAAATACAGTATTTCAATTACTTGTTTGTTTTAGACAAATAATCATTTACCTCTGGAAAAAATGTCCTAAGAACAAAATGTTTATAATCAAGAAATGGAATTGTTCCAAAGCTATCAACTATATCCAATTCTTCAACTTGTAGTTCAACAAATCCTATAAAACAAAAAAGGCTGCTATAGTGCTTATTTTTATAATGTTATATCTTAATAACAATTTTTACTGTGATTCTGGAAAGGAATAAAGAAAGGAATTAAATATCAGTATGTGTGTTTGTGCATACATTTGTGTACATCTATTTATTTCTGTGGAATGTGCAAAACTGACTATTTTTTTAATATGCAGATTTTTAAAATACATTTTTGTATACAACAGAAAAATGACCAAGGGATATCAAATGATTATTTTATGTAAAATCAGCAATAATACTCTGTGGAGGAGTTTAATCCAAACTCCAATAAAGACAACTATGCATAATGTTTCAGAACAGGCGCCTACAATCACATGAAGATTTAAGATAAATGCATACAAATAGTTTGTCTCTTAATATGCAAAAACATAATAAGAGATATTTAAGGAATAGCATTTGCTATATTAAATTGGAGAAATCATGTGTTTTAGGTATAGCTAAACTTAACATAGGGATGTGGTGGCTCCGTGTCTAAGACGCTGACCTTGATGATCAGAAAGGTCGGCAGTTTGGTGGTTCAAATCCCTAGCACCACGTAATGGAGTGAGCTCCCGTTACTTGTCCCAGTTTCTGCCAACCTAGCAGTTTGAAAGCATGTAAAAATGCAAGTAGAAAAATAGGAACCACCAGTGCTTCCCCTCATTTTTGGCATGCTTTTTTCACCCTCACCAGGCTCCAGAGGCTTTATAGGAGTCTGGGGAGAGTGAAAACAACCCCCTGCCCCCTCCGGAGGCCTTCCGGAGGCTTCAGGAGCTTCCCTGAAGCCGCCGGAGTGCAAAAAAACAGCCCTATGGGCAAACCGGAAATTCAGGAACACCTTGCGTGCCCTGACAAATGGCTCCACATGCCACCTGTGGCACGCATGCCATAGATTCGCCATCACGGGTCTAGTCTAACAAATTTCTTTGTACATTATTTGTGATTTTAGCAAGGTATACTATATTTTTCGGAGTATAAGATGCACCAGAGTATAAAACGCACCAAGGTTTTGAAGAGGCAAATTTAAAACAAAAAAGTTTTTGCACTATGCAAACCTCCCCAAAATGGTCTGTTTTTCACAAAAACGGGCCCATTTTCTTTTCAAAAAAATGGCATGAATAGCCCTTAGGAGGCCTGTAGAGTGTTCCGGGGGTTGGCAAAAATGAGCAAAAACTGGCCCATTTTTCACAAAAATGGGCCTGGTTGTTTTGCAAAAAAGGGGCATGAATAGCCCTTAGGAAGCTTATAGAATGCTCCTGGGAGCTGGGGGGGGGGGCAAACATTGAGCAAAAACCGGCCTATTTTTTGCACATTTCTGCCCTCTCCAGCCCCCAGGAACTCTCTGAAAGCCTCCTTCAAGCTATGCACGGCCATGTTTGCAAAAGGGGTGGGGTTTCAGAAGGCAAAAAAATGCTGAATTCAGTGTATAAGACGCACCCATATTTTCAGCCTCTTTTTTGAGAGAAAAAGGTGCGTCTTATACTCCAAAAATATGGTACATACATTAATCTATTACTGACCTCTTTCTATGAGAGTAGACCTTGTAGGTCTATTTATATTTGTTTATTTGTACACACAATTCTTGTTTCCTACGAACAAGGGGAGATTAGCTAAAATGAGCACTGAAGCTTTGCAACAGTAAAGGAAACTTACAAGACAATTTTACAAAGGGTTTTATAAAGAATATTAAAGGATTTTTGAGAAAAAAGAGCTTTCCTTTACAACTCTGTCATGTAGTGTGGTAGTGTCGGTACAAACCTAGATTTCTGTATTTGATACAATGATAAAATAATTGCACAAAAACTATGGACCATTTCTGGGGACTTTTATACCCAAACGTCAATTCATTCACATGCATTCTGCTGATACAAATTTACCTTCCCGTATTTCTTTGCGAAGTTCACATTCCAAGAGCTCCAGATGTTCACTCAATTTTTGATTTAATTGTTTGGACTTTCGCTGGGTGACAAAAACGGCAACTAAAAAAACTAACATTAAATTAACGGAGGTGTTAACATGCCATATGTCCTAATGCATACATGTTTATAATTTGTTTTAAAAGGACAAAAATATCTGAAAACTGGTATAGCTTAGAGTGGGCAAGTTTAAACTGACATTCAATATATTTAAATCAATACATTAAAAGTATCTGCAGGCTACAAAAAAAAATTAAGAATAATAGTAGGATTGTAGTTAGTAGTAGAAAGCTTAAGCAACCTCCAAAATTTGGGGATTATGGTTTTCCTTCCTCAAATGCCTTCCTTTTTGTCACCTCACACTATCGCAAATCTTGACAAGATTTGGAGGCCTCTGCCTAGGAAGGAAAATCCATAGGGTTCATTATTGTTGATGGAACTGAAGAATTTAGGTAATTCAGTCTGAGGCCTTGGAAAGGTTTTGCATATAGCAAGGGAAAGAAAAGAATAGGATGGATCATTAGTCAGATGCAGTATAAGCGGAATTTCTTGAGCTGTGAGATGATTATGGGTAAAGTGCTCTCTGATGACTCTGAGTGGGTTTAGCTGATGGTTTTGGTGACTGGCAGAGCTTTGAGCTGTATCAAATGACTTGGTTTATTTTCATTTATTTTATTTTCATTGACTATCCTATGCAGCCACTGTAACAAATTAATGGTTAGAGATAAGTATGCAATTACTTACCCGCAATTACTATCGGGATTAACAAAAGAATGTAGAGGAATGGATAGTTTTTCTTTTCAGTAGGAACTTCATGCACAAAATTCCCCACCTTGACCTATGGATAAATAAGATATTGATTTAGATATTGGATTATTTATATATTATATATGTATAAAAGATTGCAGTCAGTATATCCAGGATCTGATATAGGGATAAAAGGAATTGATATACTCTTTATATTTCCAAAATAGTTGATAGTAATTATATTAATTTATTATATGGCACTTCTTTTATTAGTTTTATTGTTTTTATATGAAGTTTTATATTCTGTAAGCTACTTTGAGTTGCCATGTGTGAACAGGTGGCAATATAAATCCAATAAACAAACAAACAAGCAAATAAATAAATATTTCAAATTTATTTGATTATACTGTGATGACCAAGGGTAAGGCACAGAGGCAACACAGTCAGCTGATAGTTCAAAATGCTCCTTTATTGCACCAAATTTCCCCCAAATGCTCCTACATTATGGCAAGTCCCAAAGCAAAGTGATCTCACACACACACACACACACACACACACACACACACACACACACACACACACACCTCCATCAGCCTCTGGCTGCAAGTAGTCCAGCAAAATGCTGTAAGCACAACGGCATCAAAGTAAGAAATGCAGCGGGGCAAGGGAATAAGTCAATGAATCCAGGAAGCAAAGGAAGACAGCAATGGTTTCAGGAAGCAAAAGAACAAGGCAATTAGTCCAGGAAGCAAGAAATAAAGCAAGAAGCCCAGGAAACTCCAAATGTCAGCAACGGCACACAAAATTCCATGAATTCAGCATTTGTTTCCGACAAATGATCCTTCCCAAAATGTCTCATTAAGTCTCAATCCCTACATGTGCCTTGTGAAGAAGTGTGGGGCATTTTCCTCCCGAGTTTTGGGTTGGCCTGCGCTGTTCCCACCTTCTCTCCACTCTCCGTGCTTGGGGATCAGGAGGGGGCGTTTCTTGTCATCGACTAAACTCCTTCGCTCATCATTTCCACTGCCTACCCTCTGGCCCCGTTCCCCCCTGCTAGCATGCCTGCCCACTCCTAAGGGGCCCTGGCCTGTCTCTTCCCCACATTCCTCCGAAGCCAACAAAACCGCCCCGTCGGTCTCCCTCAGCTTCAGGTATGGCTCGTCTTCTTCCACAGATTCAGGCTCTGATGGGGGCATGACATATATCTTATCTTTCTACTTAGACAGCACTCAAGAAAAATATTTTGAAAGATAAAATGCACTTTCCAATTAAACAACAAGAGATCTTTCTTTGTTATAGAATAGTATGCAACATAAGCAGAGGTCCAATTTCTCCTCTTTCAAAATGAAGAATACCTTATGCCACCAAACTTGAAATTTTGGCTTAGACAATTTAGAACTTTGCCGTCTTCGATCAGATTATCTGCTACAATGTCCTACCTGTCAATGAATACTTCAGCTTCAACCACAACAACACACGGGCTCTCAATAGATACAAACTTATGATAAATCACACCAAACTTGATTGCAGAAAATACGACTTCAGTAACAGAGTTGTAAATGCCTGGAATCTGACACTGTGGTTTCTTCCCCATACCACCAAAACTTTAACCTTAGACTGTCTGCCGTCAACCTCTCCCCATTCCTAAGAGGTCTTTAAGGGGTGTGTGCATAAGCGCACCAGAGTGCTTATCATTCCTGTCCTAATATTTCATTGTATTCGTATTAATTTCATGTATTCCTAATCATGTCTATACTTATATCTGTTATCTACTTCATGCTTGATGAAAATAAATAAATAATTAAAAAAAAAGCAGAGATCCAATTTCTCCTCTGTCAAAATGAAGAGCTGGTTTCATGTATTCTAAGCATTATAAATGCAGATTACTTGTAATATTTAGTGTGTAGATATTCTGTTTATTTTACAAATTATATCTACTTTCCCGATTATATGGAAAATTGTAGAGAATTTGTGTCTGCAAATAAGAGGATCTATAGAGAAAAGCATACAGAAAAGGAGAAAAAACACAGGGCTAACTACTGCAATATTAAATTGTATAGCTCAAGATATGATATACTTTTATAACCTGAAAAACTAGAGAAAAGAAATGTAATACTAGACTTTATTCAGAGATTATTTTCTGTCAGTAAATATTGTCCATTTTTACAGGACTGTATTGCAATAATACATGTCATGATTAGTGATATCTGGTGTCTAGTTTCCTTGCTTTATTTAAGCACTTTATTAATTCATTAGTAAATAAATAGTAAAGTGCTGAAAGAAATTGTTCAGAAAAAAAGAAATGAAATATCTTACAAGACTTTATATAGATTCTTATACCTTTTGACTTTTTCACAATGTTTTGGAACCAGGAATAAATAAATTACTAGCTAAATTTGCTAATGTTATCAAATAACTTGAACAGGAAAAGAAAACAATGAAGTTTCTTAAAAGCTATTTCCAGATCAAAGAAGAGGCAATGAAACAGTGAAAATTACAGGCAAATATAAGAGCAATGAATACAGTTTGTGATGTAATCTCAAATATATTTCCTTGATTAGATTTGAACTGCCTGTTTAAAACTTCATACACATGGTTAGTTTCAACAAAGGTTAACTGAAATAAGTTTAAATAAATCTCCTCTCCCTCCCACTCTTCCTCCATCCACTACCACCATTTTCACTTCAAATCTTCAGAACTCATCCAAAAGTGATTGTTGATCATCTTAGCATCTGCCGTCAAAATACTGAACAAGAAGTTAAAATGACTGTTACACAGGTCCTGGAGTAATGAAAATCCCTACAGAACTATAAGATACAAAGGGAGAGAAAGAAAAGGGAGGAAATTCCCTCAGTTGCTTGGCACATGAGTTGCCCACTGAGCCTTTCAAGAAGATAAAGGGAAATAAACTCTTGTCAATTTCAGCACTAGCGGCTTTTGCTAAGGAAGTACCTCAAACACATCATGTTAGCATTCCAGTTCCAGAGCAGGAATCAGGAAAGATTATTCTCAACAGGGAAATTGTCAAGATTGAAAAACACTTAAGCTTCCTGTGACTATTATTGCTTTTCAATTTGCCAATGAAATGGGAGAGTGAAGGGTGAGATGGAATGCATAGGCCACAATCTTCAACCATGAGATCCAAGGACCTGTCTGCAGGTGTCTGCCGAGATATGGATTATTATTAAAACAACAGGTTGATTCCTAATTGGACAATGTGACCCGTTCCATGGGAGGAGAGGATGAATCTCATTTTTAACTATGCAGGGTTACATGGGAAAATTTAGAGTTGGTTTTGCTTTCTTCTGTGCTGGAATGATGTACTCAATAGAGAAATGCTTTTGGGATTTTAAAGTTCCTGAAGATGCCTACTTTTATTCAGTCTGTTAGTTGGAAGGTTGACAGAGATAAAGTTCCAGAATATTAAAAAAAAAAAAACAGACGACCAAGTAATCCTAGCTTTCTGCAGTATCATACACTCCATAACTGAGACAGAAATAAATCAACACTTTCCAACTCTGAAGTTACAAAGGATCCTGCTCCCATAAGATTAATTTATGTGCATTGTGCATTCATGCAGCATCTGAAATATTATTCTCAACTGACAAAAATCTCGAATTAAAAAAAAATGTTAGATACACTTCCCAGTTTGAGAAATTGCATTGACACTGCAACCCTGAGAGAAAAGCAGAAGGTATAATTTCATTTTAGAGATGTGTAGCATTTGATCCAAAACAGGAAAAATACCTTGGAATCAGTGTAGGCACACTTGCTGTATCTGTCACCAGAACTTAAAACAGCTCACACTTTTTCCTGATCTTCCACAGTGCTGCATAGCTCCAAATCCTAAATGTGTATTTGTGTACTGGCCAACATGTATATTTCAGATGAGCCAGAAAGAGTTCCAGATTCTCTAAGGTGCAGCTGACAAATACAGCACATGCATCCACGTCAGATCCAAAGTACTTTTCTGCTTTGGATTTGACTATGCACAGCTTAGAGTTTTGGATTAGATGAATGCTTAGATTCTAAAATGCTTAGATTCAAGCATTACTCACATTGAAAGCTGTGGAATTCTATCTACAGTATACCTACATAATGCCAAGCATTTTTTCCAGAAAAGAGACATAAAAAATTAGCATATGGTAAAATTTAATTTTGAACTATCAATATGATATGATTTACAAACTCAGAGAAATATTTGTAAGAATAAAATTTAATAGTACAAACTTAAGAAACTGAAAAACTTCCGGTGGTGGCGTCGAGACGAGTATGGGGAAGAAATCAGGGCTCTGACTTCTTATCCCAATCTACACGTTTGGAGGATCCCTTCAGGGGTAAGCCGATCTTGGAGAGAGATGCGGAGGAGTAGGGAAACCCTAGAACTAATGAGGCGGAGGGCAACCGCCCGTTACGACATGGGGATACCCTTTTAATCTGGCATGCAAGCGTCTGCCTTGTTTCAATGGTGGACTTGAAGTCTCGACAAACTATCTAAAAGGGGAAGGAAGAAATTAATCAACTTCTTGTGTCAGCGAGTGGATTAGCGGACTGGCTTGCGAGTGGAAACAGCGGTGAGTGTGGGCAGAAAGGGAAGTTCGCAGAGGAGAACAGGCAAAGCAGTGAGTCTCCAGAGATCGGGTGAGAGAGTCCTATAACCGAGAGGCCATTTGGAGAAGTGAGAGCAAAAGATTTTTAGAGGCAAAGACCGGCCCGAAGAACTAATTGGCGTAAGTGAGCGATCGGAGGGGAGACAACAAGAAAGAGCACGAACTAACTCTAAGTCATGCAGACTCAAGTAGTGAAAAGAAACCGAGAAAGAAGGAGGACTTGGAGAACTGTGGTGTGCTTGAGAGCAGCGGTTGACACACAGTAGTTAGGAAGAGGACAACGAAAGAGAAGAGGAAGAGGCTGATGCAACAGCTGTGCTGAAATTATTTAGAACTATTTAGAACAGAAGAACGTGGACAATTTTGCAAAGACTGAAAAGAAAAGTAACTCAATCCAGAACTTAAAGAAAAAGTGGTGAATGAACTGACTGTATTAATAATTTAGTGAAATAAGTTACAATTATATACAATAGCTATATAT